TGAGCTTAAGTACATTTTTGATTGGTACGTTCCTTGATAAGTGTTTGGCTACAACACAGTTGCACTGGTGTAATGTGTCTTTTTTATTTTTCTTTGTATGACCACCACCTTGCAGTTCTAAAAGGGGAGGCCGAGGTAGCTGAGGATAGCCAACATCAAGGCACATGGGGAAGGGACGTGACCACATACTTTTCTATATGCACAGGATGGAATATGTTTGGGTGGCAGACTGGCTGAAGGAGGGGAAATTGATTTTCAAACTCCTGCTTGGCACTGATTTGGGCATGTGATGAGTGCTGGAGAAAAGCAGAGTGAGCAGAGGACAGCAGGTGCTGTACAAGAGTGGAATGTGACTGCCCTTTAGTGATAAAATCCTTTAGATACGATGGTGTGCAACCAGTCCCTGGAAGACACAAGCCTGTTTGGGGTTAGGGGGATATGGCCAGAGGACAAATAATTATAGACCACTAAATTTCTGGAATGAAGTGCCTTCCCCAGAATTGTCACTGTTGTTGGGTTTTTTTTGGTTGGGGTGTGTGGGTCTTTTGGTTGGTTGGTTGGTTTGCTTTGTTTTTGTTGTTTTTGGTCTAGGTTTCATGGGACATCATCTTACACTCCTGTTTTTTGTTTGGTTTTATATGAGCGCCACACAGGCTTTTTTTGTTTGTTTGTTTGTTTTTTAAATGTGTGTATCCTCACAACAGCCCTGTAAAGTAGGAAAGTGGTTTTTACAAAGGGGAAACCGAAGCACCAAGTGACTTTAGTGAGTATTGACATGGCAAAAAAAGACCTGTCAGAGAGTCTCCAAGCCTGGGTCAGCTGTCTTGGGCTGGACAGCTAAGGATAGCAGAGTGGATTGTTCAGGCTGGAACTGGGATCCGATACCCTTCCCTTCAATGAGTTTCAGGTCCTGGGCTCCAGCCTGAGTCCAAACATCTACACTGCTATTTTTAGCCTCACAACATGCGCCCCAGTCCTTTGACCTGGGTTCTGAGACTCGCTGCCCAGGAACTCTCTCAAATTCATGCAGGAAGCCTGCAGTGGAGCAGAAGCTGAATCCAGATCTTGGACTACCCACTAGGTATGTAGAAGTGTACACATGGAAATAGCTAACTGATGAGCCTTGGCTCATGGGTTAACCTTCACAGTTCCATGCACACACGCACTCCCACACTTCTGCCTCTGTATCAGGCAAGGGGCAGGTGGTACCACATGATGAAGCAAGAAAAGATCATTTGTGGATGCAAGCCAATTCATGCTGAAAAACCTAAAGCTGTACTGTAAAAACTGTTTTGCAAACAAAAAGCCTCTGACATCATTGTACGGAGGAAATGTTGGAGTTAATTAGCGTTCTGTTTTTTTGATCGGCTATGATAACCAGCCAGGACAGTCCTATTTTTCTGCAATGGTGACAATGAAAGAGTGCTTTAGAATGAGACTGGCCGGGGAGAGGAAGTTTGGGAGTTTTGCCATTAGTTTAGTTGGACCTGGGTTGTCACTGCTTAGTAGAGTTTTGCCTAATGTTAGAGACTTGCTGAAAACTAGAAAGGCCTTCTGCTGTAGTGGTTGTTTCTGAAGACTGGCTGGGATGTCCTTTTCAGGGAATCTGGCATGCTGACTTCTCTAAAGGAGACACTGATGTCATCTGTAGCAGTGTGGATAGTTCTTAACTGGCTTTTGCCTTTTTAAATTTTGTGTTATGGATTTAATTAACGCTTTATTGTACAGTTGATACATTAGCTTTGCATGCATGCCTGTGTCATGTTGCTGTGTAGTGGATGATCCACTCCTGTGTAGTTATTAGTAATACTAGTAACAAGTAGTGTTAGTAACTTAGCTCTGGTGTCAAAAGCCTCTTGACTCTCACCTTCCTCCTCATTACCTGCCTCCTTACTTCCTGCCTGTTCCGGAGCACAGGGCAGCAGCTGGCTTTCCAGGAATGGTACTGGGAGCAGCGTGTAACCATTTGGCTCATGCATGTTGGTTACTCATTTAAATGGCTACACTCTTACATCCCTGGAATGAACTTGTGTTCACACTCTGTGTACCATTGTAATCAACTTTGCACAAGACTTGTCACGTAAGGCATTTGAAAACTCAAAAATTGCTGATAAATAATATGGCAAAATCTGTCTACCCACATGATGTGTAAAGTTATGAACTGTAATGCTCTGTACAAGAAAGTTTCATGCTTTATATCATTAACACTTAGACTTTGAATAAGATTTATGAAAACTATGTATCATGTAAGGTGTCAATGGAAAAGTTATGGTTTGTTAAGCATGGTTAACTGTTTATATGCATGTATAATCTTTGTATATGAAGTTTATGAATATTGGCTGTATGCTGGTATCTTAAATCTGTGTTAGTATTCCTGGATGACACCATCTAGATAAATGTACATCACGCACGGACAGCTATGTACTGATGGCCCATCAAGTGCACACAGCTCACACAAGGGGCCATAGAAAAAATTCATCTGGCCCAGATAGCTCTTCTTGAGGATGCCTCAGACAGCAAGGGGCCAATGGCCACCCAATGTAAATTGGCAAACTGTGATATGCTTGTGTGACCCTGAACTCCATCTTGAGCTGGTAACTTTCTGCACACTGAGACTATGGACTTCATTTGGGACAGTATGTTTACATATCAATGGTAGAAGATGTAAAAGACACCTGATACATCTCCATGTTGCCTCTTTCCTTCCCTAATTGCCTGAACTATGACTTTACAACTGAAAAGAGCATCTTAAACGATAGACTGGAGAGACCTTCCAATCTTTAGGAATTTACCAGAGACACTTTACAAGCCAGAGTCTGTTCCACCACTGCTATAAACCTGATATAAGGACTTTGAAATCATTTGTATGCATATGATCTATTAATCATTTATAACTTCTTTTACTAATAAATACTAGTATATTGAGGACTGGCTGACAGCGTGATATTTGGGCAAGATCTTATGATTCATATTGCCTTATGTGTTCGATCCTCTGGGATTAGGAAGAACTTCACATGATTAATAAGGTTTTCATTAACCCCTCAACGTATTAGACTTGTTTATAGATGAGAGACAAGGCATGGATTGGATAAGGGGGATTGTCTGGTTTCTGGTTAGCTAATATGGAGCTGCAGACACTGTTTTGTTCCCAGTTTTGGGAATTGTCTGGTTCTTGCAATCTGCCCTGAGTGCAGCATTTGCAGTATGGTCCATCCCAGGTACCCAGTCACATGGACATACACTGAAATCAGGAGTGGAGTGTGTTACTCATATAAGAGTGGGGAGTGGTTAAACAAGTTAACCAAGACAAAGGGCTAGTGCCCCAGTCAGGGGTCATCAATGTAGTAATAGGCACTTTTTTTTTTTTTTTTTTTTTTTTGCGCCACAAGGAGGGGAAGGGACAAAGATCTGCATCTTTTCAAAGAAACAACATGGAATGTCCTTCAAGCAGGAAATGCATTTGAAGGACGGATTAAAAACTATTAAAAGGAGGGACAAACACCATAAGGTGGTACTCTTCCTCTGCTCCTCCCCCTTCCCTTCCCCTCCACTCCCCTCCCCACTCCACCATTCATCTTACTAATTTAACCTGAAGAGACAAGAAAGAATCATTGAACTCTGGGAGAGATTGGTCAATAAGTGTTAGGACCGTGTGATAAACTTTACTTTACTTTGGCACTAAAGTTTTAAGCATTTCTGGATTTTATGTCTCCTTGCTTGTACTCACAATCTGTCTCTCTATAGTTAATACATTTGTTTTATTTTTTTTCATCTAATCCAGTGTTTTTAAGTTGAAGTGTCTGGGTAACTCCACTTAGATGGTAATTGTGTGTATATTTTTACCTTAAAGAAATAATGGAGTGTAACAAACAGGGTTGGCACTCACCTCACACAAGCGCTCCTGTTTTGCCGAGTGCAGGTTCTTGCACTCCCTCCATCTTAAAAGCCTTGCTGGTGTTCAGCCCTCTGGCTAACTCTTTGTGTGATAACAAACCCATTCTGGGTTACTCCTCTAACAGGGACTCATCCCAGTGTCCTCTGTAGAGTCTCTCTGTTTGATGCCGTTCCTTCAGTTTGTTGTCCCACTCTGAACGAGAGTGGTACCTCAAGGGCTTCCCCTCCTGGAGACAACTCCTCGGCCCTTAGCTCAGGGCTACCTTCAAGTCCATCAGTCTTTCAGGAGCTCTCCACTGGGAGCTGTCCCTGCTTCTGCCAGCCAGCCACCTCTGACCTTCTCCCTTCCAGGACTGGGCTGTAACTTGAGCTGCCTCTAGTCCTGCAGCTTCTTTTGTAGTCCCTTCTGGCTCTTGATTGGCTGGTTTCTTCCTACCCACTTTAGCTGCCTGGATGATTTCTCTATAGCCCTTGTGACTTTAGGGACTAGCCCCGTTACGTGGACTTAATATTTTTGTACTGCCCAGGAGAATGTTGGACAGTACGTGACAAACATTTCTGGGATAAAACTAGACTGGGAGTGTGTATAACCAAGGCTAATGAAGGCCAGAGTGTAACGCAAGTGTGGCTGGCAAGCTGCCGCCACTCTCTCACCCTCAGGGTGTGACTTGCATACTGCAAGGCTGTTTGAGAGTGGTCCTGGTGGGAGTTACTATCAGCGGCATCAAAATTGCAGGGCAGGAGTGACACTGGACTGGGTTGCACTATGGTATGTCACAATTACATTAAGTTTACACCAGAAATAATCCTTTGTGTCAGATACTCAGGACTGGCACAAATAATATGTGTGTTTTTGTTTTTACATTGGAAAGAGCAAACTTCTATTTCTCTCTTCATAATTCTATTTTAGATGAGAAGAAGCAGATGGTTGCTAATGTGGAGAAGCAGCTAGAAGAAGCAAGAGAGCTGGTATGTCACAGAATTTACTATGTTATATGAAAGTTCCGATGGAACAAATAAATACAATACCATTAATGTAATGTTCAACAGATGTTTAGAAATGTTCTATCTATAATACAAGCAGGAATTGTATCAAATGTTATAGTTTAGATGAGAAGAAGCAGATGGTTGCTAATGTGGAGAAGCAGCTAGAAGAAGCAAGAGAGCTGGTATGTCACAGAATTTACTATGTTATATGAAAGTTCCGATGGAACAAATAAATACAATACCATTAATGTAATGTTCAACAGATGTTTAGAAATGTTCTATCTATAATACAAGCAGGAATTGTATCAAATGTTATAG